TACATATACACACACATATATATGTATATACACATGTATACATATACACACACATATATATGTATATACACATATATACATATACACACACATATTATATATGTATATATACACATATATACATATACACATACATATATATGTATATATACACATATATACATATACACATACATATATATGTATATATACACACATATATACATATACACATACATATATATGTATATATACACATATATACATATACACATACATATATATGTATATATACACACATATATACGTATATACATCTCTATACTCCAGTTAACAATTTATCGATTACTAAATTAATTGACGATTTATTTTTTATTCTAATTTTGTTTTAATTACATAAAAAACAATATAAAGCCTATCCAAAACCCCAGTTGATATAATCAGTTTTAGATCTAAAGCAGTAACCTGACTGGCAGCTGATGTTTTAATGGAAACAGACTGAGATTAATGCAGCTAACTTTCTATGTGTTTTCATCCTCTGTCCTGTTTTAGTGTGAAGCTGCTGCTCACCTGAACCTCCCGACAGTTCGGCCACATAAACACCTCAAAGACACAAAGAGACGTTGGACAGTCCGCGCGCTGTGTCCTTCACACGCTCCATCTAGCGCGGCTCCTTCCCCCCATTACAATAGCTCTACGTAAACAACTAAGATTTCCCTGAATGTCTGACAAAAACAAAACAGACAGCTGTCTTGGGGGGGACTTTTAATTTGACACCGATAACCGGCGCTTGATAGAGGCGTGATGAGGTTTGACCGTCGCCATTAGATGATGATGGCAGCTGTGAAACGCCCAGAGCTGAAGTTAGTGTCCGATTCGACGCTTCCTGTTTGGCTCATGAAGGCTTGTTTGAGCAGCATAAACCACTATGGTTCATTAATTAAACACTTCATATTTTTCATTCTGTCTTTGATTTGTACTTTTTAGGGCAGAGTCGAAATTTTGCAAATTGTAATCCCAAATAAAAGTAATACTTGTGTTTAAAAGAATTTAAAATGAGCACAGATTTATTTTTATTGTGCTGCTTTTTAAAATGTTTTTTTCTTTATAGTCTAAATTTAAAGGTATAGTGGGGGATTTTTGTGAATTTTATGAAAAGACCTGCCCCTTAATTAAAAAAAAAAAGAAAAAAAAAAGAAGTGGTTAGAACAGTGTGCTTGTTCTCTGTGAAGGTTGCAAGGTCCCAGTTAGCCTGCACTCTGGGTCCCTGAGCAAAACCTTTAACCCCACACCGCTCCCTGGACGCCACACAATGGCAGCCCAGGAGATGGGCTAAATGCAGAGAATGAAGAGTGATAAGTGTGAGATTAATAAAGTTCAATTATTATCATTATTATTATTATTCAATTATTATTAAACGTGTGCAAGAGGGTGCACAAGCCCATTCCTCCTCGTGCACGTTCTGTTTGCATCGCTCATACAAGTTTACTTTTCAAAAAAAGATTTGCAATATTTCCGCTATGTCAAGTGAAAACGGAGATGAGCACGCAGGACGGCCTTACGTAAACATATCACCACAGAATGATTGACAATTAGGAGGACCACTTATCTTGATGATCCACCTGGAAAAAGAAAACGCTCCACTAAACCTTTAATATAACCATGTTTCCTCCTTCGTGTCGTCTATCTGAGAAACAATTCATCCATGAGATTTGGACCAGGTAAAAGGGTTCAACATACTTTAGCTGAGTAAAATATGAGTAGAGTATTATAAGTGTTTAGAAAGGCTTTACAAACAGTAAAATAAACCAGTTATAATGGACTTATATGCAGCAATAGCAGCTTCATTTTGCCTAGGAAGGGCATCTACAGGGTTAAAGATGTATTTATGGTCATACTGGAGCATTTTATTAGTTAGGTCAGACATTGATGCTGGATGAGATGATGTGGCCAAGCAGTGGTATCGATGCGATTGTGCATGAGAGGAAATAGAGGAAATGGAAAAAGAAAATCCTCCACTATACCTTTAAAATCACAGAGTATCACAACATCACTCCTTTTTAATTTTAAAGTTCAAATAAAGGTTTAATGGCAAACTGACCAAAGCATTGGCATTCATTGAACAGCAGATAAAAAGACAATATAAAATTTTTTTTTTAATTTTAATTAATTAAAAAAAATTAATGATTTTTAAAATTGTATTTCAGTATAATGTGAGAAAAAAAATCTCATAATTCAGACTTTATTCTAATATTTTAGACTTTAATCTAATAATTCAGAATTTTTTCTCATAATTCTGATTTTAATCTAATTCACACTTTTTTCCCTCATAATTCAGACTTTAATCTAATATTTCAGACTTTTTTCTCAATTCAGACTTTTTTTGTCATAATTCTGATTTGAATCTAATTCAGACTTTTCTCCTCATAATTCAGACCTTTTTCTCATAATTCAGACTTTTTTCTCGTAATTCAGACCCTTTTCTCGTAATTCAGACTTTAATCTAATATTTCAGATTTTAATCTAAGATTTCAGACTTTAATCTACATGTAATATTTCAGACCTTTTTCGCATAATTCAGACTTTAATCTAATATTTCAGACTTTAATCTACATGTAATATTTCAGACCTTTTTCGCATAATTCAGACTTTAATCTAATATTTCAGATTTTTTTCTCATATTTCAGACTTTAATGTAATATTTCAGACTTTTTTCTCATAATTCTGACTTTTATAATAATTCTGAGATTAAAGTCAGAATTCTGGCTTTTTTCACATATTATACTAAAGGCCGACTAGTATACAATTAAAAAATCAGTTAACTTTTTTATTTTTTCAATGGCCCCAATCCTCTTCATTAGAGCAATATGTGTGGGGCCGCTTAGTGAAAATATTTTAGATTTAGAGAATTGCACTTAGAATAATGTGGCGGAATAACCCTTTAAATTCAGGAGGCGACCATAAAGCTACAAATCTGAGGCCGACTTCAGCGTCATGCTTCTCCTCCATTGTTTGAGGCTTCGCTGAGAGGATTGCTACTATAACTGTTCACCGTCGGAATTCCACATGCAGTGGAAGTATATCGACACCGGGTAAGCTTTCTAACGACTCAAACTCCCGCTAAAGACGTTAACAAATCTCAGTTTGAGCTCGCGGAGGAGTTGCTCGCTGACGCAACGTTCCGACCATCTGCCGTCGAGGCGCACGAGACCGACCGTTACCGATTCTAACTGTTGCCCGTTTAGCTCATTAATACGGTAATAGAAAACCTGTTTAACACTGTCTAACATTAAAATACTGTTATTTTAGAAAGAAATTCGATGAAGGCGTTTCTTTAGACGTGCCCAGCTTTTTGTTTACAGCTGAAAGGCCTACCTATCTGTAAACCAATTATTTTTTTTGTAATTAAATGAACAAACATTTCTGATGTGAAACAGTCTTAGAAAAGAGATAGAGGTTCAAAGCAGGGCAAAACAACTTCCCCTTTCACTCCTAATTTCACCAATATTATTATTATTTTGCCTCTTAATATGTGTATGTCATCTCAATAAACTATATTCATTGTATAAACAAAAGGAGGGTTGTTTATTTAATTATTTTCACACAGGTGTTTACAAACTTCTAATATTAGTTTTTTTTATTGATGATTTAGATAATTAAAAAAGGGAAAAGAAAATCAGACAATGGGTTAAGTAAATAAAAATATGCAGCTTTTTTTGCATGTTTTAGGAAACTGTAAAATAAAAATAATGGTTTCAAGTGGTCTAGTTAAAGCCTGGGCTTGACATGGAATCAATGTGCTGTGATATGACCTTAAACGCATCGCTCAGGGTTCAGATTTCTCAATTCCTGCTGCCTCCTCTTTCTATGGATGCTCCGCTGACCTCAGATCAGATGTGTGGGATGTTTTTTTTTCTAAATGCGTACAGCCTTTGTGCACCTAAAGAACATCTCCAAGATTAAGGGACTAACGCAGCAGGATGTTGAAAAAGTAATTTATAAGTTCATTTTTAGTCAAATTTATTACTTCACTGGTGTATCCATAGGTTTGCCTAAATTAGATCCAGAATGCTGCTGCTTATATCCTCACTAAAACTAAGAAAGTAGAGCACAGCACCCCACTTCTAGTCGCGTAACAGCAAAATGAATAAACTTTTAAAATACTTCTGTTGGTTTAAAAAATAAAAATAAATCCCTGGATGACTTAGAACCAAAATACTTTAGAGAGTTGTTGACAGTTTATTTTTACCTCCTACCTTCGTCATACACTTTTGTAGGCAGTTCCTGTCCTCCCTTTCCTTCCTAGTGTCCTTCCTTCGTTTCTCACTCCCTCCTATTTACCTTTACCACATGTCTTCCCTCCCTCTGATCTCATTTCCTGTCAGCATACTGTCAAATAAAAAACATATAAATCTTTATATAAGACCAGACCAGATTGATAAATCTAAAAAATAAGTCAATGTAAAGCTCCAATTTTTTAAAAGTTGCAAGAAGTATTTTTAAAACATAACTACAGATATATCTGGATCCATTCCAAGGCTTATATATAACGCAGCATTTTAGAGTCGAGGGTTGTGTGCCTTAATCTCCTTTACAGAGCCAGCTGTTTCAGCATCACTGTTGTGTAAGAGGATCTTGCCAGAGGACTGTCGACCGTCGTCGGCCTATTTCCCCATACTCAAACCCACACAGATAAACCGTATCCTCACATCTAGATGGTGCAGCACTGCCGGTGATGCCTATGAAGTGTGAATGATATTTGTTTAAGAAAGTAAGAGCCTTATTTAAGGCGTACAATAGATAATAACAGCAAAAAATGCCTTTCAGATAAAACCGGATTGGTTTAATGTTAAACATATTAAAATGAACATAGCCTATTGAACCAGGACCTAACACATTGTTTTAAAAAATAATAATATTAATAATAAACTTATTAAGATAAATACATAAATGAAAGCGCATGTATTATAAACCGAAAATGCATTACTGTGCTGCTCTGTGATCTTGCTGATCACTGCTTTCGAATAGTAAAAGAAAAAAAAAAAAATGGCTCATGGCTCTTATCTGCATTTTTCCCTGATTCCATTCAACTGAAATTTATGAATGAATAAAATAAAATACAAAAAATCTATGGCACACAGACAAAACACTACTTCCTTCAAAGAAAAATCACGTCTTGTACAAAGAAGTGTAAAAATTTAGTGATGAATCACGGCAGCGGAACCAGAATTCAGCCAAAGGTTCTTCAATAAAGGCGTTTATTAAACAAAATAAGCAATACCAAAAAGGACCGAAGAATCAAAAAGACATAAAAGGAGCCTGGATGGAAGGAGGGGTGATAGAACCACACGCTGCTAAACGAGGGATAGGTGGGATCCTCACGCCAGCAGCAGAATACCAGGAGGTAAACAGTCGGCACAGTCAGGGCAGAGGTCTGCGCCCCTAAGCAGCGTTCCGTCTAGATCAGAGTATGGTGCAGATCCCACCTGCCCCTCGCTTAGCAGTGTGTCCGCATCTATCACCTGCAGGATCAGCTCCACCCCTCCCTCCATCCAGGCTCCTTTTATTTTGGCTTCACGCAGCCACCTACAGGCAACCGACTTCAGCCCAGCTTGAATTGTTAAAGGGGAAAAGCAAAAACCCCAATCCAAACATGCAAAGCACAACAA